TTTTTTTTTTTTTTTTTTTTTTTTTTTTTTTTTTTTTTGTTTTTTTTTTTCTCGTTTGTCTTCGTTTATAACTCCTCCGTGAGTTTTAATTGACAAAAATTTGTGTGTTTTTTTTTTTTATTTTTATTTTGGTTTTATTTTTTTTTTGTTTCCTCTTCATTACTTAACCTATAATTTGTGTTTTAACTTTAGTTGATCAGACTTGTTTCTATTAACCTTTTTTGGTTTTTTTTTTTGTTTGTTTCGTTTGTGTTAATTTGAAGAGCTTTACAAAAACAAAAACAAAAAAAAAAAAGAAAGCTGTGAAATTTCCCAAGTTGGTATGAAATTAAACTCAGCTTTGGAAACGCTGCTCAGTGTCTTAACTTAACCTACAGCAACATGCAGGACCTGATAACTTTAGAGAGCATTTCTAGGACTAAAATTTAGGATATATTTAGAAATATATTATTTAGAAGTTTCCATTTGGAAATTTACATTTAGAAATTTCCATTTGGAAATTTTCATGTAGGAATTTACATTTAGAAACTTAAAATTTAGAAATTTAAAATTTAGGAATAAATTTAGGACTACTTTTATTCTTATTTTCTGACTATAAGTTTATATAAAATATCAATTTTAATACAGCTGTTCCACAAAAAGCAGTTTCAAATTTAACTAAAATCATTGACTTACCAACAATAATAATGAGCATGTAATAATAATGAAGCATGTAAAACAGCCAACAGTAATAATGATAAGAAAAATTCTGAATTCAGAGAAGTACACTGTGGAATGGGATAGGATAAGCTGCTTCAAAGGTGAATTTGTAGGGAATTTTTAGGTCTGTTTACACCGATCAGAACAATAAATCATCTCCTTAGCAGTCAATAATACACAGAGAAGGGCTGACCTGTGAGTCTGTGGTAACTGTGTGCAGAATTATCCGAACTAAATTTGTCCTGTCAAGGTACCATAATGATCACGTTTTACAATTTTTATTTAAGTGCAGTTAAATAAACCCTGCACAGCATTGTTTAGCAAGCCTGGAAAATGCAAACTGGTTCTGTGAGAGAACAATCATCCCACTGACTGAAGCAGTAACACTGTTCTGCAGCCTGATAAATGCTCAGGGTGGTCCATGACCAAAAAGTGGATGATGGTCACGTGTCTGGCCTCCTATTGTCCATTTGTTATGGCTTTTTATATAGTCAGGTACTGAGAATCCACCTGCAAACTCAATTCTTTTCTTAGCCCCTGTGGTTGATTTGTCAGGCCTGCACTGAACTGCTGCTTACTGCAATGTTTAATTCCTGCTGCCAGGAGATTATTGCTGGGAAATGTGTATTCTTTAAAATCCTCACCTGTATATAATTTGGATTGAAGTGTACTTGAGATTCATGGGTAAATATAGAGGCTGATGTTTAAAGATTATGTAACCAGAGAGATGCTTCATATTGTAGAACCTTATCTGAAACCAAAAAGCCATTATCTGAACTTTTCCCTATTATTAACATAGATTAAAAATGAAAAAAAAAATAAAAAATCAGCCATATCATGTTTTGTTCACAAAGTTTTTCTTTTTCAAGTATCAACATTTGAGTCTGATCTGGTAAAGAAAACGTTTGTTAGGATGTAAAAACCATATTGCTGCTTAGAGTTGAGCTTAACTATTGTGTGGCAGCTGCAGAAGCTGTTCAGAATTCCTGTACTCTCCTGTGGCTTTGGCTCCTGGTGTTAAACATGCATGACTTGAACCTTGGGACAACAATGACTTGTTCAGTTGCAGTTTTGCTGACTCGTGAATGAATTGTGGCAGTGGCTGCAGCCGCTGAGCCTCGGTGCAGAGTGCCCTGCTCAAATTCCCCCGGAGCATCGCTCAGCCCGTGGGGACTGTAAACGGTTGGGATCACTGCCCACCTGACAAAAGCACTGGAAATTTTTCATTGGAATTGCGCTTGTCCGGGGCGAGCTGGGCCACCAGCCCTTATGGCTTGTCTTGCACTAAGCACTGCTGGATGCTTGGACTCAAATATTTGAAATGCAGGACTCGCACACCTGTTTCGAGGCTGATAAAGCTGCTAAATATCCATTTAGAGCTGGCCTAGCAAGGTGATGAGTGTTGGCAGCCTGGCTGGACCAATGGCTCGGCCTTTTTAGTCTGGTGGATCCCTGGTTCTAGTCGATGTCAGTGTAAATTGCTTGACTTTATTACTGAATTACTGAGAGTTATGAGATGAAATCCAGGTTTGAAAACCACACTGTATGTTTTTGAGAGTTGTGAGATGAAATCCAGTTTTAAAAGCAGATAGTATGTTTGGATACTCCTAGTGCCGGGCTTCACTTACTGTGTGGGTTGTTTTTCTTTCCCCAGGGCCTCCACGGATGTCTCCTAAGGCTCAACGGCACCCTCGAGGTCACAGAGTCTCTACTGGTAGGGGTACAATTTCAAGTGGCTTAGAATTTGTATCTCATAATGCACCTGGGGAAGCATCTACTGCTGCAGTGGCACGAGGCAGCCCTTCAGGTGGGACGTGGTCATCAGTTGTCAGTGGGGGTAGGTAAAGCTTGGCTTATTGCAGATGGCTTGCAGGGGGACCTTAGAGTGGGAATGCTCAGCAGAATCCTGCCTTTCCAGACAATTCAGGCTCTGAATAACCAAATCCTGGGCTGACTTAGCTTAGATGAAAGCGGGAGAGGGATGTTCCCAGTAAAAGAGTTGGTGAGTTGGTCCTTCAAGTGCAGGATTGTCCTAATTGCAGGGCCAGGTGGTGTGTGAAGAGAAAGGGAGGAAAACTGTGGGAATTAGTTGTTGAAAGGATTAATTCTGAGGAGAGTTACTGGAGGAGGCAGGAGAAGTTAGCTGCATTGCATGGCATCACTGGGTTTGGTCAGTGGCAGTGTGGCTGGGCTGTGGTTTTTTGAAGGAGGTGTTTGCATAGAGGAAGGCTGGTGTTAAAATGATGTTCAAGTTAAGTTGGATATATTTTTCCTTTAGAAATTACATAGATTTTAAGTGGTGATGTTGTTCTTGTCTACTGTAGGAGCAACTGTAGTCAGTGTCTCCTTTTTTTTGAATCAGTTAATGGGGTTTTTTTGAATATTTGACTTTTCAAGCTCAGTCTTGTGACACAGGCCCTAGTCCAGAGCTTTTGGGTTGAGGCCATGTTCTAGTGGGCTGTGAGCAGCTGGGTGTTTCCTTGGGCAGGTGAGAGACAGTTTGGTCCTTTTTAGATCCTTTTTGGGTACTTCTTAGCAGTGCAGAATTCTAGAGGAGTGTAGTGGGAATGCATTTTTCAGAAGGAAGGTATGAATTAGACCCACATAGACCTGTTGCCTTGTGGAAAAGATTTAAACTCTTGTGTTCTGGCATTATTTCTGATTCATCTTTGCTCCCCACACCCCACTTTATATATTATTAACATGCTAGTAGGACTGTTAAACCACTTTACCTCTCTTTTTCCTCACTCACTGGGGGTTAATATGTGACATAAAGTACTAACTTGCCACAGTGGGATGAGCAGGAAGCAGGAGGTTTAAACAACTTGTTTAAATTTCTTATTTAAAGAATACACAACTTTCCTTGCTGCTTTAACACAGGGGCAAAAATATACATCAACTATTCCTTTTTTTCAATAGGCTGTGTTGTTTTTTTTCCAGCTGGCAAACCTCCAAAAGAGGACGCCGGAAAATGGAGGGGTTTTTTCAGCCCTTTTAAAAAAATGTTTTACATCTGGTTGTGTGGAGACCTGCCCACCTTTTGTGTTCTGCCTGAAACTGTGTTAATGTGAGCTCTTGTAGTTGTACTTCTGGGGGGGCTGGGGAGCATTTTGCAGCTTCACGGTGGGACTGAGAGGGCAGTGATGTGTATTAGGGGCCAATCTGCAGAGAAATCACCCCACTTATCTGAAATGCTGCGTTGTAAAGAACTAGGAGATGTACCTGAAAGGTAAACAGGTTTTCAGTTACTCTAAAAAGTATCTTAAAGCATGTTTTTAGCCATTTTAGAAACTGTTGAGCAGCTGAGGAAGCTCATCCTATAACTGTTCTTTCCTGTTTGTTTCTAGTTCCGAGATTATCCCCTAAAACACACAGGCCTAGGTCTCCAAGGCAGAGCAGCACTCCCATGGGACCAGCTCTGCCTTCTCCTCAGCCTGGTACTATTCCCACTGAATCTGTTGCCATGCCTGTTCCAGCTGCCTCTCCTACACCTGCCAGCCCTGCATCCAACAGAGCAGTCACCCCTTCCAACGAAGGTAGGTTGCAAATTCTCCCTTTCCCTAAACCCTGACAAGGAATTTGCCTTGAAAGAGCAAAACTCCTTTCTAAATAATGGAAATTCTTGGGATGCATTTAATTTTACTGTGAGTTCCCTTTTTGTCATGGTGCCAGCTTGAAACTAAGCTTGGAGAGAGGCTTTTTGTTGAGTCTGTGCTTAATTTCTTGTGCCCTTTAAGGAGGATGGGCTTACAGGTGTCTGACTTAATTGAGAATTTCTTTTTTCAGACTGAGTTCTTGGCTCTTTTCTAATTTAAAGAATCATAGGCCACTGGTTTCAGAGAGTATTTTGAACATAGCAAAAATAAGGGGAAAAAACCAACATTCAAGGACACAGTCAAATGTGTAAGAACTCTCAAATGGTTGTCGAATTCTGTCTGAAGAGCTTGGACTTGAAAATAATTTACTCTTGGTTTATAGTTTGTTCAGCCTAGTCAAGGTTTGGTGTATGATGAGAGGGATGAGTTTAGCTGGAACTTTATAATCTGACTTAAAGACAGTAGGGGGAGGAAGGGGGAAGGATGATCCTCCAGGCACCAACTAGGTAGCAGAAAATGTGTAACTTCAAAGATTTTTGGTTTTTAAGCTAAAATCAAGCTTAATCTCTCTCTTGTTTTTATCTTACCATCTCTCTTTGGTCATTTTGAGTTGTATAAAAGAGAATAACTTGGCCCATTTCTTTTCCAGCTAAAGATACCAGGCTTCAGGACCAGAGGCAAAATTCTGCAACTGGAAACAAGGAGAATATAAAGCCAAGTGAGACTTCTCCTAGTTTTCCTAAACCTGAAAACAAAGGTTTGTATCCAAAGCTTTTGGTTGTACTTGAGTGCTGTAGGAATTCTGCACACTAAGCCTGCTGTACTGGCTGCTTTAGTTGGCATTTTTAGGAAGACTTGGAAACAATCTGGTGCTCTACAGCAAAAATTTGGTCGTGCAGTTGTCAGGTGGCAGGACTACAGTTTTAAAGGTTGTTTGTGACTCATTTCATCAGCACGAAGTGTAGAGATGCTCATGTGGATGGTGTGATTTCCCTTGTTTTTTTCTTTTTTTTTTTCTTTTTCCTTCTCTCTTTTCCCAGCTCACAGAGCTGGTTTTTAGCTGCCTTTGGACTGAATATGTGTTTCTGCTCAGAGCTGTGCTCACAAGAATTGTGAGCATCATGCCAGCACAGTGTTTCTGACTGTGCATCTTCCTGTTATGCCTTAGATTTGTTTTTTAATGCAACACTGCTTGTTCACTGTTCTCAAAAAAATCTTTTCACATTCTTGAACTTGGAATCGTGGATTGATTCAGGTTGGAAAGACCTTTAGGATGGAGTCCAGCCATAAAGCTCACCTTGAGCAGTGTTTCTCCTTTACTTGCTGTGTTTTGAAACACTGGCAGTGTGTGTTTGGGGGGGTTTTGTTTCATTTTGCTTTGTGTTCAGTGAGTTCTGCAGTCCCTGCACCTCAGGGCTTCTGCCTTGGTGTGGTGCATTAGAACTAAAGATAAGTCAGTTATGTAATGCTGTGGTTTCACAGAGTGTTTCTGTCTGCTCATGGAATTGTACCAAATTACAAATGCACTTATATCACTGTTTTTCATTTCTATATATGCAAACATTACCTTTCTGCAAACTTAGTAATGTGTAGGGGTTATATATATATGTATATATGTATATTTATATTTCTTGTATTAGAAATGCCTGGACAATGTTGGTCTTATATTTGGCAGGTGTCTCTCCAATTGTTTCAGAGCATAGAAAACAGATTGATGATTTAAAGAAATTTAAGAATGACTTTAGGGTAAGTTTCTCTATGTTGATTGTGTCATAATTCTCATGTGCATCCAGATTATTTTAATGAATTGAATACACTACATATGTTAACATGTCTCTATACTTGTGCTTAATTTATGAAAATATCTGTAAGAATTCATGCCAGGTATTGGAAAATCAATGCTGACTCTTGCTAGTACAATTGCCTAATACCCATAAATGTGAATATTGACTGTACACTGAAAATAGGACTTGAAACCTGTTTGATCATTAGGTACAAATAATTATCACACACTCCATATGGAGGAGCTGTTGCAAAATTAAATGAAGAGTTTTACTGAGGAAAATTGAAGATGAATTCATATTACTTATTTCCTGACCATAATGGTTTATTAAATCAGGTTAACTTTTCAAGTGTTACTGTTAAATCACAGCACAGATGAGTCCAGAGGGTTGTCCTAAGCTTTCCTGTCACTCCCTAATCAACATGTGGGTCAGTTGAATGGCTGAACAGCTTCTTTCTCAGTGTAGGCTTAACCATTGTCAATGTTCGTGGGTTTCTTTCCTAGTAGAAATGGAAATGTATGTTTTAAAAGGTCATTTCCAGGTGGTTGAGGCCTGTGGGACTGTATTTTACTCTGTGTATGTGACAGCATTAGATTGTCTCTCCATAGTTCTGTATATCAATTTACTGAATATATTCCTTGGGTTTTTTTCAGTTACAGTCAAGTTCCTCTTCAGATGCAGTGGATCAGCTGCTAAACAAAACCCGAGAGGGGGAAAAATCAAGAGATGTAGTTAAAGAAAAGACAGAATCCACCCCTAAAGAATCTATCATAGAACCTGGCAGTAACACCAACTCCAATGGTGGCAGTAGCAAACCCAATAGTCCCAGTATTTCTCCTTCCATAAGTAACAGCTCTGAGCAAAAGCGAGGGCCTGAGGTGACTTCCCAAGGTGTGCAGACATCCGGGCCTGGAAGTAAACAAGATAAAGAGGATAAAGAGGAGAAGAAGGATACTTCTGAGTGAGTAATTATGCCTTTTAGAATAAGCACAATGTTATTAGCATTTAGCCTTGTGTAGAAAAAGCTGGTGTGAATGCGGAATATGTTGTCTAAAAGCTTATTTAAATGTTTTCCTGGCTCACATAAGCTTTAGCATCAACAACAGGAAAAATTTATGAATAAGTGTAGTAAGAGTCCTGTCAATAAGAGTGGTTTTTTGCATGTCATGTGGTGTTTGAGTTCTCAGAAATCTGACTCACAGATGGAAATGAGGTATTTCTTACATTATTAATTGCAGATATGCTCATAAAGGAATAATGCCAAACTTAATGTTTTGGTTTTTATGTTTAGGCAAGTTAGAAAATCAACACTTAATCCTAATGCTAAAGAGTTCAACCCTCGATCTTTTGCTCAGGTGAGTTGTTTGATGCTGTTTGACGCTGCCTTTGAGTAGATCTTGATAAGCAGAGCTTTTCCTTGGAGGATACTCAGACTAATCTTGCCCTGTGCTTTGCTCAACTCTGTTTGTAGCCGAAACCTTCTACTACACCAACCTCCCCTCGTCCACAAGCTCAGCCCAGCCCCTCCATGGTGGGTCATCAGCAGCCAACCCCTGTGTACACTCAGCCTGTTTGTTTTGCACCAAATATGATGTACCCGGTTCCAGTGAGTCCAGGCGTGCAGGTAAAGTGCTGCAAACTCCTCCACACTTCACAGGGATTGCCAGGAAGTTGAGGAGACTTAGGAATTATAGAATGGTTTGGGCTGGGAGGGACCTGAAATATCATCTAGTTCCAGCTGAGGAGCTCTGAGTTAAAACAGTGAAATGGTACAGCTTGTATTACTCTTGTAAACATAAATGAGATTGTTGTTAAGTTTTAGCTGTGTAAATACTGACTTTTCCCGGTGCTCCCTCAGTCGGGATGTTCAAGTAGTCTCAAACACTTCTGAATTCCAGCAGCTCCCATTTGGTGTTAATCTCTAAGCACAGTCTCACTCTCTTTAAGCTTTAAGCGACTGTTTCGTTGTCCTCAGCTTCCAGCTGAGTCCCCACTAGTTTCTGGTTGTTGTGGGGATCACTGGGATTTCAAATCTAGCTCTGTTATCATAGAATATCCTGAGTTGGAAGGGACCCAGAGGGATCATCCAGTCCAACTCCTGCCCTGCCCAGGACACCCCAACAGTCCCACCCTGTCCTGAGAGCATTGTCCTGTTCAGTGCCCGACCACCCCCTGGGGGAAGAACCTTTTCCTGAGATCCAACCTAAACCTCCCCTGACAGAGCTTTATAAAAAAAAGCTGTTACAAAGCTGTTTGATTTAGTCCACTGCTTGCAGTAGTAGCATTACTTGTCTGGTTGTTGCAAACCATATGGTCTGCGTTGTTTGTCCGTGCAGACTTACTGACAGGGGTCCAGGAAAACCTCACAGGTTAGGCAGAGTTCACTAAACCATGTAACAAAACAGAGTAAAACACATCAAAGCTGAGTGGGGTCCCCACCCCAACACACATTGGCTTTTTAAAGGAATATCATGATTTCAATTTCTTGTGTTTCAGCCTTTGTATCCTATTCCCATGACGCCCATGCCAGTGAACCAAGCCAAGACATATAGAGCAGGTAAAGGTGAGAATAATACTGCCTGTTTGGTTCTCAGTCTGCATGCAGCATGGAGAGATTAGAGCTGTTTGTGTGCTTTCTAATCCATGTTAATTTGTTTTCAGTTGATATTTTAAATGCTATTTTTAATGAAGGGAAGTAAGTGGAAATACTAATGGATTTTTAGATAAACTGATTCAGCCAAAGCAGGCTAAGTTTGAGTTATGGGGAGTTGCTTGGTTTGGAATCTGATTTGACAAGCAGGAAAACGTCTCTGTTACTTGGAGCATTAGGGTAAGCTGATCATCTCCTATATTTCATAAATATTATAGGTTTGTTTAAAGGGAACTTCTGTACTGATTTACAGCACTGAATGGTGCTTTAATAGAGGGGTTTTGTCAGCAAGCAAAGTCAGTCTTTCTTCAGGAAGAGTGTGCTCTGCTGCTCTTCTGGAAAAAACTCACTTCTGGTTCCAGTTTTTTCCTCTGCGTTCCTTCTACCCCAGTAATGAACAGCTGGACCAACAATACCATGTTTTTAACAAGTGACACCCATGGCTGTGGAGACAGAACATGTGGGAGATGCTCCCTGTGCAGTGCAGAGAAGGAACAGAAGAGTGTTTTTCTAGTCCTGTTTCAGGAAAGGCTCTAACTCTGCACAGTTCATTCCTTCTTGCAGTGTTAACCAGTGCTTCCTGAGCACGGGATCCAGTGCTGCAGCTCCAGTCACTGGAGGGGGAGATTGTTTCCAAGAGCAATCCTGCTGTTCAGAAGCAAACAAGTGGCCTTTATGAATGTAGGGAAGACAAACCCCTGCAATGTATTTCTGTGTTAAAACACAGTAACTTCACTGTGAAATCTTTTCATTGGTAGCACTGTTTTAATCAGAAGTACATTGCTGAGGACTCATTTGCTGTGTGAGGCAGCTCCAATTCTGAATTCCTTTTTTAAAGCTCCAGTATTTTCTGCATATCCATCTGTGTGCAGCATAGCCCTGAGGGAGCTGCCTGGGTTACAGCTCAGTGCCTTTATGCTGTTCAAGTTGCCTCCTGTATTTACTTCTTTCTATTGTTGATTTGCAGAGTAAATACAACCATCAGTGAGTGAATTTACTGACATCTCCTTTCCTCTCCCTAAGGGGTCTGGCTACATTGCCCACTGCAGTGGAGTTTACAGGTGCTTGGGGTAGTTTAGTTAGTAGTTGCAGCCTGACTGCAGGAGGCTGGAGCTCTCCTGGAGCTCACCTGGAGCTCTCAAGCCCAGTGCTTTGTAGGCTAAATTAGTTTTTTCCAAGCTCCTCACTGCTGTGGGTTGGGTGGTCACTTACCAGGATGGTTCAGGCAGTCCCACACTACACTGCTATGCTTTTTTCATCTTTTCTTCCCTCTTAATTATTCCTGCTCCTCTTCTTATAGGTTGTCTTGTCCCCTTCAGTGTTGTCTGTGACCTAAAAGTTGCTTTCTGCTGTCCTGAGGGGTAGCATAGAGCTCAAAAGATGTGAATACCTCAGATTGTGCCTGCATAGAGACCTTTATTCTGCTCTCCTCAGCCATAAACATGAGTGACTTTAACAGACTCACATTTCCAGTTGATGGAACAGTGGCTGAGTAGTTCCCATAGAGGGTGAATTAAGCCTTTTGAAGGGGACAGGATCAAATTTATTAATGTAGGTATCCTGATATAACCTTTCTCTTCCATTACTGATTCTTGTGAGTCTTTCTGTCCGTCCACCTTTCTTTCCTCCTTCCTTCACAATAAAAGCAGGGCTGGGTTTGTGGCCTGATATACGGCCCAAAGGCAGTGATAAAAAACTCTTTTTCATGCTGTTCCTTTTTGCTAGAGCCCTAATAGATGGTTAAAGATGAGGGGTGAGGATATTCCACGTGGTCACAATGACATTATAGTGTAAAACCTTTCAGGAAGATGATCATTCTTCATCCTCTGTTTCTAATGTGAGGAACTCTTTGCTTTTTAGTACCAAATATGCCCCAGCAGCGGCAAGACCAACACCACCAGAGCACCATGATGCATCCTGCCTCAGCAGCAGGCCCTCCAATTGTAGCTACTCCACCTGCTTACTCAACACAATATGTTGCATATAGTCCCCAACAGTTTCCTAATCAGCCTCTTGTGCAGCATGTGCCACACTACCAATCTCAGGTAAGAGTCTTTTCATGCACCTCATCCATAAAACCAGAAATAATGAAGTGGCTCAGACCTAAATACCCCTTTATGTCCTGTCAAAAGTCACTCTGAACAGTTTCTGGGTTCTGGAGCACACTTGGGGGTCTTGTAGAGTGCTTCAAAGCCTGGAACAAATTTTAAGGTCAGAACAACTTCTAAGGTCATAACAAATTCTCAGGACAACTTAGAAGTTGGCATTTATTATTGATGCAACTTTCTAGCTCTTTGAAGAATTTCTTTAGGTCGTGACCAGCACATCTCCTGGTTAAGTGCTCTAAAAATAACCTAGTTGGTGGACTCCTCTTATTTGAAAAGCTTTTAAATATACGTGTGTACCTGGATAAATATACTGTGTAATACCTAAGTTTGCTACATTATTAGAGTTGCAAAAATTCAATATGCCAATTTTTATCAGTTTCTAGGCCTTAGATTTGGATAATCTCAGCAGCTGCTCTGCACTCGAGTAAGGCCGAGCTTTTACCCTTTCGAACATTGCAATTGTTTAGATGACACGAGTTTCTTTGTGATGGTTCCCCAACTAATGTCTGCTTTTTTTTTTTTTCCTTTTGCCTGCAGCATCCTCATGTTTATAGCCCTGTAATACAGGGCAATGCCAGGATGATGGCCCCACCAGCACACGCACAGCCGGGTTTAGTATCTTCCTCTGCAACACAGTACGGTGCGCATGAACAGACACATGCTATGTATGGTAGGAAACGTTTTGTGTTATATGTAACTTTTTAAGTCCTTACCTTGTGCAGGGATGTACTTAATCTCAGCCTTCAACCATGGGTATCATTCAGTTGATGTGGTTTATGTTTCATAAGCTGATGAGCAAGGCATTGAAAGCTGAGCCAAAGTGGTTCAGATGAAAACTCAAGTGTGCTGATTTCAGTAGGAGGCCAGTGACCAAGATGAGATTTCAACCTGGGAGCTGCTAAAGAATATCTGCTGAAAGAAGTTTGTTCAAGTTCTCTTGATGCTCTTGATCCATCATCCCTCGTTTGTTTCTTGATGATAATTAGTACTTGTTTTATTGCAAGGCTATGACCTCAGTTTCAAACTTGACTTTAGTTCTGGCAACTAGTGAAATGCTGTCTTTATGATACTACTGGCATTATTAACAGTATGAACTCTGCTGTTTAAGCAAAATAAACCATGTGTTGCTTACCTTTCTTTTTTGGTAAGTCAAGACTAAGTCTGTGGAACAGCTCATGTGTTGCTCTGACTTTGACAATTAGTCTCCAGCATTATCAGATGGGCATATTTCACTTACAGTGAAGTGCTGAAAATGTGGGTTACCTTGTGACAAAGTAAAATGTGCAAGAACTTCTAAAGCATTATAAATGTATGATAAATCAAGGCCCAATTTGGAGGAAAAAAAAACCTCCCTGCAAAACATGCTATTGAAAGAGGTAGAGTCAAGGTTGCTAAAGGCTTGGGAATTGTCATAAAATGTCAAAACAGCAGATGGTCTCTTGAAAACATGGCATTTCAATACTTGTTATAGCATCTGAGGAAAAGTTTTATTGGGTCACATATATATTGACTTAGATTCTAATAAAAGATTTTCTGTACCTTTAGACATCTCTGTATGTTTTCGGTGCTTAGTTTTACACTGATCCTTAATGCAAGTCCATGATGTGTCATGAAAACTTACAAAGTAAGAATCTGGAGTTTAGTGTGAAATGAATTCTGAGTTTAAAAAATGTCTTACCCAGCTGAGAACATCCTGTCAGATCTCTGCAGTGGGATGGTAACGAGAGTTAAGAAATAAAAATAACAGAGAGAAACCTTTTTTTGACGCTTGGAGGAAGAATTTGAGCTCATTTGTGCTGAAGCTGAAATGGAAGTTACTTGTAGAGATTAATCTTTCTCTCACAGGTCCTTGCTAATTGTATTACTTTGATCTTTTCAACTCTTGTGCTTGAGGTGTCCATGTAAACAGATCTTCTGTTTGCTTTTTCATTAGATTAAATAGAATTCCGATAAAGTGAATGATCAAAGGCTTTCAGACCTTTATTGGTGAAAACTCTCCTCTCAAATTCTAATTAAAATAAAACCAAACATGAGATAATCGGAGATTTGATTGAGAATGGTTGCATGTGACTCCCTAGCAATTGTGCACCATCCTTATCTTCTGTAATCAGTGGGTTCTACAACACTGAAGTACAAGCCCCTTCCCTTGACTGGCTTTGATCAGATGTCTGAATAGTTTTTTCACTGATATTCTAATTTACAACTGTTAGATCTCATTTTGTGTTGGTTTTGCAGCTTGTCTGTTGTAGGTATGTGACTACCTACCAGTGCAAACAACTAAGTTGGGTCAAACTTGAGAATTCTTTGGTATTTCCTTCCATGTAATTAAATATTCCTTTCCCCAGAGCACATAATTTTAACAGAAGTGGCTTGTCCTCCTGTGCTCTTTCAAGTAGCTACTTGGTGACTCTTCTAAACATTCTCCCACCTTCCAGTAAATGATGGAATGCTTGAAATTTTTGTTACTGAAACCATTCAACCCAGCTGGATCACGAACTCTGTAGGATACACTTTTTTTTGTGTTTGGTGAATATGAGTTGAGTCAAATGCACCCTGAACCCACCGAGGTGACAGTTACACATGGGATGACTCCTGATGTTCTGCAGCACCGTTTCAGTTCAGATCTTTGCAAGTCTTCCATGTGCTGAGTGCTTGAAGACCTTACCCAGATGGACTGTGCTTCCTCAAAGTGTGTCCAGCTGTGACATGTTCACTCCACCTTCATTTATCGATATGTGAACACTTGGGAAAATGCAGGAATGCCTGAGGTGATAAATCTGAGCTGCTTCTGGAGTCCGTTGCTAAAGAACAACATGCTGGAATTGTTCACATCTGACTGAGTGACTATGAGAACATATCCATAACTTATGTTCTGTGTTTTGGGAAATTTAAGTTTACCCACATTTGAACTAAATACACCCATGCACTTTGATCTCTTAAAAATAATTTGAAAGTACAGAATAACAACTTCCTGAGAAACAACCACTACTGCTGCTTTTGATTTCTGGAGCACTTGCTCAAACAATTTCCCTTTTGGCTCTTTAAAATTGCTATTTGATTTTTAAAAAAATATATTAGTACCTATTTTTAACACCTTCCCCCCATTGATACCAGGATTCAGTGGGCCATGCTGCCCTTTTAGCCTTCAAGGTATTGGTGCTTGTTTGAGTAAATTCTTGCAAAATTCACTCAGTTTTTTTCCTGCATACGTGGTAAAGAGAAGATGTTTGCAAGGACAACCACTCTGAGATGTGGGGGTTGGGGGGCACTGCTTATCAACTATTCTTAAAGTGTGAAGCGTTTTGTGGTAAGATCTGAAACTCCACCTTCACTAATGGTTTGGGACAAGTTGAAAGTCTGTGGCAAATAGTAACAACCTGCCAGCGAAGAGAAATCCCTGTTGATGCATTAACCTTGAAAAATTTGGGGGTTGTTTTCCTTCCTGTCCTGTGGAGAGATGGCTGAATCCAACATCAGTGACCTACACTTGTTGATAAGCACTCTTCCATTTTAAGGAAAAGTATTTTTGTCTGATGCTGTTTAATGGGATATTCTTGCACTTCTGGGATTTCCTTGCCAGTCGTTCCAGTGTCACAACCCACTGTTGACAAGAGAGAAGCAGAGCATGGTCCCAGTAAATCCAGCTAAACACAGGATGGAGGAGTGTTCAAATCATTGGGTTTTTCCCCTCAAAACACAGTGGGGAAGGACAATGTCCAAGCAGCTTCTTCCCAGCCAGGCGATAACACGTCTGTGACACAGTTCAGCTCCGGAGCCATCCTTGTCCAGGGAAGTTTGCGGTGCTGGAGCAGAGCAGTGCACACACCTTTACCTGCCACACTCACCCCCCTGAACGTGGGGGTGTTGTTCTTACCCTGCTCAGCTGTTGGTTCCAGAACGTTCTGTGTGTCTGTCTCACAGCTGTTGGCTCTGTGTGGCCTCCCAGTGCCGCTGGTGTGGGGCTGGTGGAGTTGTTGGCCATGGTTTGCAGTTTGGTTCCTCGGTGTGTCACACGAAGACCAAACCAGTCTTCTGCCTCTGGTAGCAAATGTGGTTATCAAGTAAAGGGTAGATCTGTCCATACTTGTTGTGTTAGTTTTCCATGTAGCTCAATTGTTTCCAGGTAACTGCTGGAGTCCTCTGAAAAACTTAACTTTTGTGTTTAAGAACTTGTGTAAAACCAGACCTTGGTTTTATACAGATGCATTTCCTGTTTTCTGTGTTCTCATTCCTGTCCCCATTCTCCCTTCCCCTTTCCCCTTCTGCATATGTTTTACTGGTCTGGTGTTGTCTCTAACTTTATCTGGTTTCTGTCTCAGCAGTAGAGTAAATTCTATTACCCTGATAGTACAATGGTGGATAAAATATAAACTTCAGAGGATTCTCCAGGGACTAAGAGTGAACCAGTCACCAAAGGTGTCTTGGAACTGTTCAAAATGACAGTGCTATAGGTGAAAAAGCAAGGGGCCAGTTTCTGCTTTAGTGTAATTACATTTTAACCTTCTTATTACAGTGGACTGTAAGAGACCATGAATTGCCATAAAGTTTATTTTTGTCTTAATTAAGAACTGCAGACCTCAGTGTCACAGTTAAGAAGGAAGGCTTACTTGAGACTTGTGTTTCATCTCCACTCATTTGTAAAACTAAATATCTAGCTCTAATAGCACCTAAGTAAATAAATTATCTGCATGGTTCTACAGTCTTAAAAAAATTTTAAAAATACCTAAAACTGACACTGACCTTTCCAGAGGACGGGAAGTATGCACGTGGCAAGAGGCTAATTTACCTTTCTATTTCCCAAATTCAGCATGTCCCAAAATACCATACAGCAAGGAGACAGGCCCTTCTTTCTACTTTGCCAGTGAGTTGGGTTTTTTGTACTAATTTTGATTGTACAGAAAAGCACTTTCTAAAGAACCAGATGTTAAAGGAATGGGACGTGTTGAGGGAAGAAGTTTCCTTGCACCAAACCAGGGTGTGGAAAACACAGGAAGGTGCCTTTCAGTGGACAGAGGGTGAAGCTGATGGACAGATTTGTCTGATCACAGGAAACTGAGTTGTCAATTTTTTTAAAAATTCATTTGGAATATGGAATGATCTCTGAATTCACTACCCAGTCTTTTCATCTGCAGCCAGAAGTGAGCTGTGTTTGTGGAGGCAGAAGGAATTCTTGGCTGTGAGGGTGGTGAGGCCCTGGCACAGGTTGCCCAGAGAAGCTGTGGCTGCCCCATCCCTCTCAGTGTCCAAGGCCAGGTTGGATGGGGCTTGGAGCAACCTGGTCTAGTGGAAGGTGTCCCTGCCCATGGCAGGGGGTGGGACTGGATGGTCTTTAAGGTCCCTTCCAACCCAAACCACTCTGTGATTCTATAGCTTCTGATTTTTAAACATCACCTTCCCAAAAGGAGAAGTGTCTTGTGCTTCATCTCTTTAAAAAGCTGTGACTCAAGTCCTGAGCCCCTGGGAGGAAACAACTCTGGTTGCAGCTGAGGTGAAGGAAATTTTCTGTAGAGCTGCCAGTGCAGGAGTGCTGGGAACAACTTTGTCATGACTGTGTGACAGTGACAAGATGAGTTCTCCTTGCTGAGGCACCTCCTCCTGGGCAGATGAACATGAGCAGTGATGTTTCCTGGCTCAGGTGAGGCTTTGCTGACCTGGATCACTGTCAGCAATAGGAGAGGGGCTGATGTTCTCCCAACAGACTGATCCCAACAGACTCAGTGTGTGTCCTGGGAAAGGCTGATAACTATAAAACACTGCCTTGTGGGTTGGTGTCCATCATCAGTTTTGAGGGGGCTGGATTTGGGGGGGGGGGTGTTTGCAGGATGAACTGTCACTGAACACATGGTAAAGGAGGACCTGCAGTCCCAGGGTGTTTTGTCCCTGCTCCTGTCCTGCTGTGAGACTTGTTGCTGTGTCTGTCTGCAAGTCCATCAGCCTGTGGCAGGATCTCTTCTGGATTTTTTGCAGTAGCTCATACAAGAGGGATGTGAGAAAATCCCCTTGTTCTCCAAAAGTCTCTTCTGGAACAGACTTCCTGTGTTTGTTGTGCCAAAATGTTCTGCCTGAGCAGGGGCTGGAGGTGCTGACCTGTCCTGTGTTCTTGGCTCTTGGTTTGGTGCACTGAAATCACTTGAATCAGCTCGTTCCTTTCATGGCTAATCTTTGAAGTGGAGTCCACTCTACCTGTGTAAAATGACTTCTTGAATTGTTTGTATTATGAAAGAAACATTTGCTATTTCTTTGCTTCCTACCATTCAGGTCTTTTAAATGTAGTTATCCTCACCATCTTACTGGCTCTGGCAATAGTTTGGAAGTTTTTTCACTGGTCAGTTCTTGAAAATAGGCTCTTCAGTGCATCTTTGGACCATGACCAGCGCTGACCACCATTGGCACCACTGAAATTCCTACCAGGAAAAAAGAAAATTACATGATGTGGTTTTCATGTACCCTTGTAGCTGGGAGTTCTGCCTGATTTCTGCTGCTCTGACCTCTTTTGATTTCAGCTCCTCCTGTGGGTTCTGTGGCTGACTCTACTTCTTGTTTGCCTCTCAGAGAAATGGGTGCACTTGTTAGAGCTGAATTCAGTAATTAATCCATGTGGTATTATTTCCCATTCCATGCCTGAATCGCTTTCCCTCACTGTCCCTGCAAGATTAGTGCAGGGAAATACTTCAGTTTAGGAACCAACTTGATTAAAAAGGTGCAGAAGCGAAGCAGGTCAGCCCAAGGAGAGGCATTTAGGCATAAAGGGTGAGAAAACCAGTGTATTAGTGCTGGAATGAGCTGAGGTGACTTGCAAGGAGCTGGTTTGACCCTTCCAAGAGCTTTCTCAGCACTTTCTTGGATACTGGATGACCATTTGGAAAATCTCCAAAATGCTGACAATTGGGGGAAAACATTGGATAATTGGTTATTAATTTTTTAATTTTTTTTTTCACCTCCTATCTTGTCTTATTTGCTGTTTCATATGTGCAGTGAGCTGTTTGGATGACCAGGCAGAAATTCTTTTTAGAAGTCCCAGTGACAGTTCAGTTCTGGCTGAGCAGGTGAATTTGTCATGACTTTTACAGGACTCCCTTTGCCAGCCCTGCTGGTCTCAGAGATTTCATGGGCTTGCCAAGAACTGTTACTGTTACTTGCTAAACATGGAATAACCCTTACGCTGCTGGAATTGCAGTTTGAACTCTGGTTTTGAACTACCAAAGATCTGTGAATGCATTTCAGACCTGGTGCCACTCAGCCTGTTCTTGGTTTGTTTGCAGTGTCTGTACAGGATTTAAAAAAGAGCCCAAATAACAGTTTCAAAAGGCACTTTTAATATCGCTATTAAAACATAATTTGCAGCAGCATCTGAAGTGGTTTTAAGCTTGACAAGTTTGGTTATTAGAGTCATCTGTTAAAGACAAAATGGGGTAGAAGAGAAATTAGGGAAATAAATATTCTTTAGTATAAGAAATGTGGTGCTTCAAATGCAAAGCTGGGAATGAAATATTAGGTGGTTATGGAAGAGCTGCCACTGTGACAAAAACTTGATCCTCCTCCTGCTTTACATCTATTCTTCAGGGTACTGTTCCTTGCTTTAACTGGTTTCTTGAGAGAGAAATTCCTCTTTGTGCAGTTTTATTGTAGAATGTATCCAGTTCAGAATAACTGGGTTTATTATTCTCTTGGCTATAAAGGACTGAAAGATGAATTGCACAAATGGTTTAAGGGAGCCCCACGTTATTTCAGGGGCTCTTAACAAGCAATGTGGGAAGGCTTGAATATCTTACAACTTGGAATTAAATTTCATCTACATTTTAAAGCCTCTTGAATGGAGTTGGAGTTAATTTGCAGTCAGCTCTGTGGCTCAGGCAGTGGGAGGATTGCTGGTGTAACGTGCCCTTTGGCAAGCAAGTAATCTCTCCTTGCATTTCTTTCTATCACTTTGACAGAGATAATAATTTTTGGCCTTCTTCAGAGTGTGTATAATAACGAGGTTGAGATATTTTCCTCCTGAAGGAAGCCATAAACTTCATATTGTAAAAATGATCAGTGTTGCCATTGATAATTTTCATGTTATTGTAAGGAGAGATGTCTGAAAGTCAAGTAGGAGCATGGTGGGGATGCTACTGCAAAATACATTTTAGTAGTGATAGGAAAAACTAAAAATACTTGGATTTAAAGCATAACAAAGTGCTGTGGCAGAAGATCCTGCAGTTTTGACAGTGTGCTTAGAAAATATTGAGGTGTTTTTGAAACCCCCTCTCAATCAGAAATGCTCAGAGTGTATGACTGTGCTTGTACACTTGGATAAGTATTTTAGGATCAGCTCCAGACTGCAGGAATTGAGTTCATCTGCATTAATAGCCTGAAACTGCACATCACTGTTGGGCCATTTGCTCGGTGAAGATTTAATAGAGCTTTCAAGGGATTAAGTTAAATGTGGCAGGCAGTTATTTTCTAAAGGAGGAGCCTTCCTAATGCACCGTACCGGGGAAAAAATCTCAATTAGGCAAAAAGATACTGTCTGTATATATTCTAGTGAATTTGAATTTGTTAGAACTAGGATTTGTAAGAATTATAGTAAGGCAGACTGGAGGAAAACAGGTATTTGCACAGGGTGGAGTGTCAGGGCTGTGACAGAGCAGTTCAAGGCTTGCTTGTGCTGGATACTGTTGTGCTTTCAGATGCAGCTACATTTTAGTCCATTTTTTCCATCCATCTTGTCTTTCATCCTTTGTCTGCACCCAGACAGTTCTGGTTGTTATGAACTTAGAACCCAGTACAGTGAAGCTCTTCAGAAATTCCCTGCAGGAGGGAGGTCACTCACCTCGCCCACCAGGAATACCTGGGACAGGGGGTTGCACTTGGGAGTTTCTCCCTGTGCCCTCATTTTCGGATTGGTTTATTAGGGCAAGAAAAACCCACTGGAAAAGCTATCCCTGCTTAAAGGTGCTTCAGTGGCCATCAAGTTCTCATAGAATACAAACCCCATGAAAAAAAGCTGTAACCCGTAGACAGTCATCGTTAGTTAACTTCAGAACAACCAAAAGGTACTAAAGGAAATAAGAAGCAGTTGCAGGGAAAATTCAGGAGCAGGTTGATGGTTTTCTTTGACTGTTTTCTCAGTATTGTCAACAAAACTAGCCTTGGTCTTTTCAAGCTGTGACACTGGAGGGATCAGTGCCCACTGTCACACGCTGAAGTGTAGCTGCAAACATGGACTGGTTGTTGCACAAGATTTAAAAAAAATAGAGAAAACATTTTTTTTAGGATCTTGCTCTCCTGTTGCATTCTTTGTGTTTAAAGGAACGCTTGCTGTCATCATGGCTTTTCATACTTCCTTGAATTCCCTCAGAAGTTCAAAAAAATACAATTTAGTGTGGCCTGTTTTGGAGCAGAACAGAGCAGGATCCAAGGAGGAACTCATTGCTGCTATTTGTTGTTGGAGACTGGCACGGCCGTGGCAACACGTGTGGCTTCACTGGGGTGAAAGTTTCGTGTTGTTCAGTTTCTTCCTTTTTGGGAATTTTGTACCTTATTTGCTACTGTTTCAAGGAATGAAGAATTCCATGGCAGTGTTAGAAGCTCCCAGGATGGTGCTGATCCAGAACAGACTGATTGGCCTTGAGGGCAGAGGCAAGATGTGTTATTTTAGTACGAGAAACTGGCTTCAACAAAGGTTTGATGCTCGAGCAGCCTCAGTTTTCTCAGCTGTAATGTGTTTTCTGGGTGTCCCTGGAGCTCTCAAGCACAGAGTTTGTACTTTATGAGCAATTTCCAGAAGAGTAGCATGGTGAGGTTAGCCAGGTATAAGGCCAAAGACTTTTTTTGGATGGTGGAAATAAAAATGGCTCGTAACACCTTTGAAAAGTATGTTTCAGGAAATCCTAAATTGTATGAAAATTATAAATTTGGTCTTTGAAACTGGTCTGTTTGACAAAGCAAAAGACGAAATGCTGCTTTTCTCTATGTAGTATCTGTTACATTGTCAAACTAGGGAAGATGAACTGTCTAATTATGGTTATTTATAGACTTTCCTGCCAAACCAAACTACACAAAAGCAAGGTAAGATCCTCAGCTATTTGCAAGATAAATATTTTTTCTTTAGAAGGGGGAGGGGAGTATATTTACAGTCTGTTTGAGCTGTAGTGAAATCCTCAACTGCAGATGGTGACTTGACGAGGTGCCTGTCCTATATCTGGTGTTAAATATCCTTCTTTTTCATCCTAGTTTCCACTGGCTCACTTGCTCAGCAGTATGCCCACCCTAATGCTACCCTGCATCCGCATCCTCCTCATCCTCAGCCTTCTGCCACACCGACTGGCCAGCAGCAAAGCCAACATGCTGGAAGCCACCCTGCTCCCAGCCCCGTGCAGGTAACAGGCTCAAACAGGACTGAATGGCTTGAAATTGCGTTTAATTGTATTTAAATTAATGCTCTGCTGGAGGGGATTGCAGCTTGATGTTAATATGTTGATATTTTTGAGAGGGAAAAAGGGTAGGATGGAGCAGTTCAGAGTCCTCCCTCTTCGCAGGGATGAGGTATAGTTTGATCCGTGTTGGGATTAAGGAATGATCATAATTATGTCAGTGCTTTGATATGAGTGGAGTGGAAATAGTAGATAAATCCTGAAAGTGTTTGGTTTTATTTTTGTCAAAGACAAGCAGCTGAAAACAAAATGGTCCTTGTGGTAGTGCTGCATTCCTTAATTCCTACTGGGAATAACTGAGCAGCTGTGAGGCACATCCAGTTCCATGGCTGCAGGTTCTCTTTCCTTTTACCCAGCAGTCTGGGTTCTGTTTGCCAGACTCCTGCTCACATGACTTCCTAGTGCAAGGAGAATCCCAGAATCCCAGGGTTGTTTGGGTTGGAAAAGACCTCTGAGACCATCAAGTCCAGCCATTAACCCAGCACTGCCAAGTCCACCACTAAACCATGTCCCTGAGAGCCACATCCACCTAATGCCCACATTTTTTCTTACCCTCCTTAAGAATCAGTTTTTTGTGCTCAGCAGTTCCCTAGAGTAATGCATGACCCATATCCTCTGACAGCCTCACTATTAACTGCAAGTCTTGAAGACAGCCCTCATTCACTCTGAGATCACTGGTTTTTCTCAAGACTAACTCACTTGAATACCTTCTGAATCAACCAGAAAAATCATATCTAATTTCCCCTGAAACAGCTTTTAAAATTAATTATTAATTGTTCTAAAGCAGCACTCACATTTCCATTTGAGCAATTCTAACACAAGTGATCAAACTGGAGAATAGAGAACCAACTCTATTCTGAGCACCAGGCTGAGGGAGGAGGGAGCTCTGCGCTTGCACAATTGTGGCACATCCAAACTCAAGTTTGATGATCCAAACTCAATCCCACGTGGTGGGATTGAAATGAGCCTGGTGGGATTGAAATGAGTTTCCTCACTTCCAGAGGCGTGGTGATCCTTAGATTCGGCCCTGATACTGAGGGCGGTTTTGCACCCCTTTCTCATGGTAGTTGACAGGATAGATTTGTCTGATTTCTGAGGCATAACCTGAGTGCTCTCCTGTGTTTTTTTGCAGCACCACCAGCACCAGGCTGCCCAGGCACTCCACCTGGCCAACCCCCAGCAGCAGTCGGCGATTTACCACGCAGGTCTAGCTCCAACCCCTCCTTCCATGACGCCAGGCTCCAACACGCAGTCTCCACAAAATAGTTTTCCTACAGCACAACAAACAGTCTTCACCATTCATCCCTCCCATGTTCAACCTGCATATACCAATCCGCCACACATGGCCCATGTCCCCCAGGTAAACACAGTTTAACAACCTTCAAGACTTAAATGTCTTAATGCCACAAAGATTAGGACAAAAGTCGGGCCTGCTGAAGTGATTTCCATTCTGTCACCTCTCAGCACAGACTTACCTGTTATTGTTATTTAGGTTTCTTGTCTGTACATTGCCTTTATTTAGAGTTTGACAAGATGTTTGGACCTCAGCTTCCAACACCTAGTGCATCTGCAACTGTAGTTTAATGAAGACATCTTAAGCTGGCACTGCTACTGAAATAAATTGAGCTCCATTCCCAGTTCCTGGCTCCCATCCTTGTCCCTGCCCCACCATCCTGCTCACAGGACTGTTTGGCCATGCAGCAAACCAGGCTGGGGACACAATTCATGAAATGTGCCTCCCCTACCCCCCATTTTGGGCTGTTTCTTGGAAAATCGGTTCATTGCTCAGGTGCATGATCCCAGGAAGAGCTGGCATACAGAAAGGTTGGAGAGCTGAGTGCAGGAAGGCTGAATTGCTGCTTTTGGTGGCAGTTTTAGGCTCTGCATTGTAGGCAAATTTATCCAAGTACATCCAGAAAAGGATATTACACAGATTATTAGGGAATAGCAAGGCACTGCGGGGGGGGGAGGTGAGGTTCAGTTCAGGTGACTGCAGGACAATCCTTGCAGAAGGAAAACCCTGCACATGTGTGTGTCTGTGTGTGGTTCTAAATGAACTGCTTATGCAGAAGATCCCCAAAGATTGCTGAGCAACTTAATGACAGTCCTTGATTCAGAATCAGAAATCCCCTTCTCTAACTGCTCTCTTTTGTGGTCAGCTTACTAAGAAAAAAAAAAAAGATTTGGGAGGGGAAGCACATGGTTGATTCATCAAGAGCTCTGTGTAAAGCAATGTTACAGAGATTTCCTGATGTTCAGTAAATCTCCTGGATCTAGTGTCCTTTGTCAAGGAATGGACAGTTAAAGCAGTAATTTGCCTGCAGAATTTCTTCTTCAGACCAAGAATTTGGTGTCTGGCTTCTGCCTTCTCATGCAGGTTATCAATAGTTTGGGATCTGCTGGCTGACTGTGATTAGGGAGGTTTGTCCAACAGGTGTCCAATCCCGTGCAAAATTCTGATAAAACCTTTGCTTTGGTCCCTGGGACAGTCAGTTAAGCCAATAAATTAATAGTTATTTAGGAATTGTTTTACTGATGTTGAGTGTTTAGCTTTTTGATTCTTTTAGGCTTTTAATTTCTCTGCTTTTTTGGGGGAGGATGAGGAGAGGATGTCCAAACTTGGTAATCTTGCCACGTCCTCCCAGGCTCTGGTTTCTGCCAGAAACAAGACTCCTGCTCTGCTCTGGTGTGATGGCACTGCTGTGAATGCCTGGGTTGTGTGCAGAGCTTCTCAGCAGGGTCTTGGCTTAGGGACACGTTTGGTGTCTTGCCTTGAAACATGAAACGTGTTTGGTTCAAGGACACGTCAAGGTAAAGCTGTACCTGAAATGTGCTGTACACGCCATGGCCAGGCCCATGGATGCAGGATGTGACCACTGCCTTCCTTTCTGTGTGCCAAGCACTTATCCAAACCACATTAAGCATATCAGATGAAACTTTGAGTCAGAGCTGCCTGCTCAGGCAGGATTTTTAGCAATCACAGACAAATCCTGCCTTGCCCTTGATTTTAACTGCTGCAGTTTCTTCTGTGATTTTTTTTTAAGAATGAAAACTACAATCTATAATCTGTGATATTTACACCAAACTAATTGACTTTCCCAATGAAGTAGTTCCCTCTAAAGATCTCTAGTGAAGGAATAACTACAGTTTAGTCAGAAATTTAAATGCATGTAATTATTCCATCGTGGGGAAAACAATCACTGGATTGTACAGTTTCTTATCAGCCTCATTTCCAGCTTCTCAACACCATCCTGAAGCACCACGTGGTAAGAATTCCAGTGAGGCCAACACAGGGGATCAATCCAATTTCCCTGTAGGTTATCAGATGACTCTTGAGCTGGTAGATATCTCACTTGAGAACTAGTACTTTTAAAATTCATTACAGAGTTCTGTCAGCTGCCAATTTGCAAAGTGTTTGAGCCACAGCAGAAAAATTTTACCCACTGTGTGTCTTGACTCCAGCTGCTCCATGAATAGCTGCTCTATAATGATGCTCCTCCAATAGCATGTTTGTCAAAGTCAACATGGAGCCAGTCCTGGGAGGTATTTCTATTCCACAGCCTGGTCTTCTAAACCTTTTTTTTAGAGCAAGAGTGAGATTTGAATTGCAGTTCCTGCCTTTAAAGGCTCCTGGAGTGCTACTAACACATGCAAATCTGATAAAAGAGTTTGGGGAATGTCTGTGATGAGTCAAGTAACCCTTTTGTCTTTAAGAAATAAAATTCTGGCCACTACCTGCTATCTGTCTTTACTGGCATGGGAGACTTGTGAGGCTGCAGTTCTGGGATATGGTAGAAGGACAAAGCAAACCTTAGGTACAAATGGTGTTTTTGGGGGCTTTTTATTCCCCTGAGAGAGAACCACTGAGAGCTCTGAGTTCCATAATATTTTGTGCTTTTAAGAAACTAGTGTTTACGAGGTTTTTAACCCAAAAAATTAATGACCTCTAGAGTCATGAACTGCTCTGAGCTAAAGAACCCACCAAGTTCCTGAACTTGCTTGCCAGAGGTGATCAGCCATTGGAAGAATTAATCTCCTTTTTCTGCTGAGACTTAGCCCTGGTTGCTCAGATCACACAAGAACTGTGATGAGCTGAACTGGAACCAGAACAAAGGGATGAAATCACTCCTCTCAGAAGGACTTTGCTGAACAATGTGTGAGCACAGGTCACTGGAGAGGAGAGGGAGGTGCCCAGGGCAGGGAGCCAGGAGGGAATGTGGGGTTGAGTAAAGAGAGCTGGGGAAGGGATGCCAGACTCCCAGTGCCTGTGCAGTTCCTGTCTGTACCCTCTAGGAAGTGCTTTGATGTAGGTGACTAACAGAAATGTTTGGAAGATTTGTTGCTGAATTGTTTTGTTTTTCTTTTTTTTAATATTCCCCGGTTAAACACTGGCAAAATGGCTAAAACTGAGACTGTGACTCCGAGCCAGCACTTAAGAATTCGAGCCCTTTTTTAATTATTATTTTTCCTTTTTGTTGTTATTCCTTTTTTTATGTTCAAACCTGCCTTAATCCCTAATGGAGTATAAACCTCTGGATTTTCTCAGCCGGAGAGAAAACTTTCGCCAGTCATGTGGCCAGGAGTTGCTGCCTCCTTGTGACCATGATACTAAAGAGCTCTTTGTTTCAGGCTCATGTACAGTCAGGAATGGTTCCTTCTCACCCAACTGCCCATGCTCCAATGATGCTAATGACGACACAGCCTCCCGGTGGTCCCCAAGCCGCCCTCGCTCAAAGTGCACTACAGCCCATTCCCGTCTCGACAACAACACATTTCCCCTATATGACGCACCCTTCAGGTGAGGAGTGTGTGCCCGGGACACCTGCACCCTAAACTGAGCCAGGGCGGAGGATCAGGACTGGGACAGACCAGATTTTGGGGGAAAAAAAAAAAAAAAGACAAAAAAACCAAACAAAAAAAACCCCGACCTTAAGATGTCCTTGTAGAGCGGTTCGTATTTGCCAGCCCGTTGCCAGCCTAGGTAGGTTTACCTGGTTTAGGGAGTTTTCCTCCAGCTGGAGTGGAGGAATGGGGAGCTGGGAGACGCTGTGGGACTGAGTTGTGCCAGGGTTTGCCGTGGTGTTGCCGTGTGTTTATGACAATGAGAGGCTTTATTAATTTAAAGCGCTCGGTGTCAAGGACGGGAGTGAAAATGGTTTTGGTTTAGGGCTGTTAGACTGCTGAGAAAGTGACTGCTAATAAAGTGACTGCTAATTTCAGTGACAGCTGAAAGCTAAACTTTAATACAGAGTAACATTCTGCAGCTTTATTTTTGGGGAAAGTAGGTGCTGTATGACTTCTTTCCACTTAAAATTTAACCTGACTTGGGTTTCTTTGATTATTCGTGTTCAAACAGCCTCGAAATTCCTGTAGTGATGTTGTTTCTTGGGGAATGTGTGAGCAGAAAAATGCTTTCTGAGGGCTTAGGCAGGGGAAAAATAAAACCATCCAAAGGACATCTTGATGTGCAGGGTTTTGGTTTGTTCTCTAAAAAAATAAAAGAAAAAAAAAAGAGAAAAAAAATAAAAGAAAGTTGAGCTCAGTAGTTGTCCTGTGACCACTTTACTAGCAAACTGTTGTGTGGCTTGCCAATTTATTATTTACATTTGAACTTTTTTTTTACAGTACAAGCCCACCACCAACAGCAGTTGTAAGGCTCATCTGGAATAACTGAAAGGCTGGATACCTTTTGTAGGCCAAATACCCTCCTTCTACTGCTTCTGCCAACTGGAAGCACAGAAAACTAGAATTTCATTTTATTTTGTTTAAAAAAAAAAAAATTTGATTTCTTGTAACATCCACTAGGAATGCTAACAGTTCATCTTGCAGTGGGAGAGATTCGGACTGAGTAGAGGCATTTAGGAACTTGTGGGCTATTCCATAATTCCATGCACTGTATCTGAGTCCTGCAAGTGCCCCAACTCTGCTTGCTGAAAACTGGAAGTTATTTATTTTTTAATGACCCTTCAAAGTTATGAACTCGTCAGCTAGCAAAAGAAGTAACAAGAGTGATTCTTGCTGCTATTATCACTAAAAATCAAGACTTGGAGATCCCTTTTACTTCTAACTAAACTTGAAACAGGTTCAGTAAAAGAAAAAAAAAATTCTAATCGTCAAACGGATGAGTTATTATTTATAAATCACGTTTGATGAGAGAATCACTATCGTGAGACAGTGATGTAACTTTTAAGTTAAGAAAACTTTTACTTTGTAGATAATATAAAATAAAAACTTAAAAAAAAATTAAAAAATAAAAAAAGTTTTAAAAACTGACCCTCCTCGGTGTTTGTGTCTTGATTTACCAGTCTCTGGCTGTACTGTGGTCTCCAGCTGAGCTTTGCCCGGGGTCTGTCATGTTCTGAATCCAGAGCCACTCATGGGGCATTGCAAAGACAAGTGAAAGGTTTGAAAGTCACAAGTTCAGCAGAGTTTTTTAACAAGGTTTTGTGTTCAAGTGGATTCCCTGGGGCCTCAGCTCTGGGTGGTGTCACCAAAGGTGTCCCAGCTGGGCCTTGAGGTGATAAAAACTACACAGTTTAAGGTGATAAAATCATACCAGTCGGTGGTGCTGCTGGAGAAGGAAAGGAAGGAATGAGGGTAAGAATTCCCTGGCAAAATGCCTGCTAAAAAGATGTGAGACAGACTCAAAGTGCTGTGTCCTCCTGACCCCTGTGTGGTGTCCTGTGCGGACGAACCAAAGTGGTGCTGCTTAAACTGGGTTGTAGAACAGCTGCACTTCATGGCAGAACAAATCAACCATACAAGCTCCTCTCTGAACCCTTCCAGGTCAACACAGCAGAAAAATGTACCAAATTCCTGATCAGGTGGGAATCAAAGCCACGGACCATCACTATTATTTGGGACGAGACTCCTTCAATCAGTCTGTTGGCACAGGCTCTTGGCTGCTTTTTCATGTCTAGGGGAGCATTTCTGCCTTTTAGCACCCAGTACCTACTAAAACAGCATCCAGGCACCTGGAGAGAATCAGACTAAAGACTAAAAGTGAGAAACGAGTTCTAAAAACAGTTTATTAAGAGCAGATTTTTTTTTTTATATTACGGTAAAATCGCATTATTCAAGAATAAGTTACTTGTACAGTACATACAGAAACAATATGTAGAAAAAATTACTATACAAGAAGAACTTTTCTGTGCCAGTGGAAAGTAGAACTTTCAAAGTAATAAAGTCCCAACAAAATGTTGGCTTTAATCGTCCTGCTGAAGGCTGAGTTTGGGAACACACAGTTGCCTCCCCGGGAGTTGCTGGTGAAGGTTGGGGCTGTTTGGATCAAACAAGCTAAAATTAAAATTTGGAATACTGGTAATGCCAGTGTTTGGTGGTCCAGATTAGAAAGGAGAAGTTTTGGCTTATCCCCGGATCTATTCCTATAAGCTTTGCCCCAAAATAGTTTCAGTGAGGTGAGGAGTGGAGGTGTCAGTGTTTGGTACCTGCTGGTGCTGGGATGTGGGAGGGAGGGAGACATCAAATAATGCTTTAGGTCATGGACTTCTGCAGAACCTAACACCTACAAGGACGTGAAGAAGCCACAGAGCAGGGAGTTCTGTCAGCAAACAGCAAGTGGTTTATGAAGATGAAGATGAGGGGGAGGAGTTGTGGCTGGACCCAAGGCTTGGGTTATGCCCTAAGCCAGGTCTCTGCTGTCCCACAGAGAGAAGGCACTGCCTGGTTTGCATCTTTATTGCCAAAACCTGCCCTGAGTAGCTGGATGAAATGGGGTTCCCACCCCAAACAGCCTCTCCTGGGAGAGGCCACCAGGAAGGGCCTCCAGAGCCGCTGCCGTGGGTCATGGCTTAGGTTGGATCCAAACTCGTGTTCCATCTCCAGGGCCAAGGCACAACTGGGGTCACACCTGACTTCTATTTCAGAGGTGGCTGTACCTGTGTGGAGCCACCCGAGGGCTCTTCCCTTGGCTTCCCCTCCTCCCAAAACTGAACATGAGACTTCATAAACGCCAATAAAAGCCCACATGGGCTGAGGAACTAAACCTGCTCAGCCTTATCTTCTCCCAAGTCCCAAGATTATAAAGATTCCTGCGAGTTGTTTACATTGCATAGGATGGAATGGTTAATGCTCTTTGCCCACTGCTCTAATCAAGGATTGGGTGCCCTGTGGGCTGGAGGAACGTGCTGGCAGGAGCAGAGGTGGGACTGCGTGTTGGGCTCTGACCCGTGTCACAAACCAGATGCTTTCTAGGAGAAATGGGATGTCAAACTCAGTCCCCAGGAGCTTGGGAAATAACCCAAAAATCGCTTGAGGTCCTGGTGCAGCTGGGTCAGGACCACAGTGAGTCTGAGATGGGGAGATGATGGAGCTGGGAGGGCTGGAAAACCCTTGGCTCCCTCGTTGGTGAGTTTTGGGGTGGATATAACTATGAAATAATCAGAGTGACTTTCCCACTGCTCACGGGTGGGAAGAACAGGAGTTTGTTTGCACAGGGGAAGCAGCTGCTGGGGTGACAATGAACCCAACATATATTTTGGTAATCAAGCACAGCAATTTCCATTTCAGCTGCAGAGAAACCCCTTGCAATTAAACTGCAGGTTAAAAATACCACATGCACACGCATGTTACGGTTTTGGCACTGGAACAATAAGCCCTGGAATGCCAAAACAACCCACCCCAGCAGCATCTGATTGCTCTGGCAGGGATCTATGTGGATTCATCTGGCAAGGGCTGCACCGGCTGTAAAGAGTGATCCCTTTTCCCAGCCCATCCTTTCTTTGCAGATGTAGGGAGATTCAGGCGAGACAACCTCATTTTTTTGGGGAAAAACCCCTTTGAACACAGTTCCCTGGTGCTCAGTGGGACTAAAATCAGGAATCTTAGCAAGATTTAGCATGTGTATGTGTTTTCCAAGGCTTTGGGAACCAGGGACTTAGCAAGGAAAGGAGATAACTTGTGTGTGCTTCCTCCCCTTCCCTTCCCCATCCCTGCAGACCACGGGGAGTTATTTATTAGTGATGGAGGGAGCTGACTTGCCTGGCACAAACCAGCTCAGAGATGTGCTCCTGCCACTGGATGCAGCCTTTGTGCTGCTCCAGGCAGGAAAATGGGATGCGGATACAGCTGAGGAGCTCCAGGAGGACAAGGCTGCCTTTGTTTCCCCATCAGCCTCTGGCAGTGCTGGAGGAGCTGGACTAGTGCAATTCTCTCTTAGTGCTCTGGTTTCAGGAGTGAGTGTGTGACAGCATGTGCTGAGTGCTGGGAATGCTGATCCCCATGGAAAAGTAGGATTCCTCCCTGTGCACCTGTTTTCAAGAGAAAGGAGGAAAAAAAGCCTCTCTGCCTGCTCTAAATGCACAAAACCCAGGAGAGAGCTGGAGCAAGTGATGGGGAGGCATAAAATGCAAATCCTAAATGGTTTCTCGAGTTGATGGTTCCTGTTTCTCCCAGTGTCATCCTTTGAGTGTGACTTGTAAACCCAGATTTGCTCTCACAGCCATTCCCTGAGCTGTTTTTGACCCTGGATATTTTGGCCTTGCCCCACAGCACTGGGATTTGCCCTTCAGCTCCTGACCTTGGCTCCTCAGGCTTTGGCTACCAACTGGGCTCACCAAGCACTGGCTTCACGGCAAAGCCCGGCCTAGAGGCTGGATTTTTGTGAAATTCCCTAACTCAGCCCAACAAGGCTTTGTGTTCGCTTGTTTTCAAATTAATTCCTAAATGTTAATGCTCCTGAGGGCTCCCACCTGTACTGCAATTTCAAGGAAAATAGAAATCAAAAGCTTTCTGGAAGGCAATCTCAAGGCAAGTTCTGCAGCCGAAATCCCGGGGGCTACGCTGGGAAATCTGGAAGTTGAATGCTGTGAACATCCCCCCCGGGTGTTGCAACAGCTCCAGCCCTTCCTCATTCTTAAAATAACGGCAGCTTCTAAGAAGTGGTTCCTCTCCTATGGCTGCCCCAGGCCCCGGCAGGTGAAGCAGCACCAGAGCTTGGAAACAGCAGCGGAGATTGGGGATCAGGGGATCTTGACACCCAGGGATTTGCTGGGACAGGTTTTTCCTCTAGGTGAGGAGGTGTCCAAGGAACCCCCTGTTGCCTGTGTAGCTTTAAATACCACCAAATTCTTGGTGACACAGTGTTTTGGGGGGGAAAAGGCAAGTGACAGCAGGGTGTGCTGAGCTGGTGAGGTGAGAAAACATTTGGGGGAAAAACTGACTTCAAATTTGTGCCTAAAATGCTTCCAATCACTGGGATAGAACGGTTCCATCACCGGGGTAGAACAGTTTCATCACTGGGATAAAACAGTTCCATCGCCAGGATAAAACAGTTCCAACACCGGGATAAAACGATTCCACCACCAGGATAGAATGTGCCCATCACTGGGATAAAATGTCTCAGTGACTGGGATAAAATGTCTCCATCACCGGGATAAAGCCCCTCCATCACCAGCAGGAATGGTTTGCTGTCAGTCTCTGTGTTAGTTCTCAGCTGGTGACACAATTAAGAATGGAGCAATTAGTGTTCACATCTCAATTAGCTGGGCAAGCGAGGTGAGCATTCCCCTGGCTGGTGCAGGGAGTGACTGTGGCTCTGCTGGGTTAAAAAACAAGTGCAAGAAAAGCCAGTTTTTGTCTTATCTAAAAATAAAGCCCAAACCCTGCTCACGCCCGTCGCAGGAGCTCAGCTCAGGTCGGGCTTTGCTGGTGGGTTTGGCAGCGGCAGCAAGTGTTGGGGCGGGAGGACAGGGCCCGGAGCAGCAACTTGTCAATGAATTTATAATCCTTTTTTTCTTGGTTTCCTGGGGTTTTTTTACCTTTCTCCAATTCTGTGGGTGTAACACAGACCCTGGTTCCTTCGCTGGGACAGGCGGGAGGCCGAGCCCGGCGTCGCGGCGCTTGGCACACGGGGCACAGGCACGAGCGGTGTGTAAACAGTAATGAGAAAGCTTTGAGAATAACAACAAAAATAACAATAAAAGGCCCTTTAACAGGCCAACGAGAGGGAGCACACCCGTACAGGAGTGAAAAATTACCCCCTTCCTTGCGAAAATAAAATAATCATCCCTAACCAGAAGGAAGAAACAGGTACATTCTTTCTCTGGATGGATCCCCAGAAGGTCTCTAGGATTTCTCCACCCAAAAGTGCATCCCAGTGCTGGCGTGGTGCCAGTCAGAGCGGAGTGTACTGGTTGTCGATGGCACGGACGTGGCCCCGGCCCGGTGCCTCCACCTCGTAGTCCGACTCGCGGGGCCGGGGCCTGGGGGCCGGGGGGATCCTGCTGGGGCGCAGGCTCTGCGCCAGCTCGG